TGGAAACAAGGGTTATATAGTTAGAATATCACAGGAGTAATACTGAAGTGTAACTATGATAGTTGGGGTTACAGATATGACTCAGGTACTGGTACAAATAAGATTTGTAATACAAATTGCTGTGTACAATTAATAAGAACCAAAAGTAGAAATGATTAAATTGTATCAATGAGTTTCTATTAATAGACTGGTTACAAGATTTTAGTTTAAATTAATAAAATATTAATTGAGAAATGATAGTATGATTATATAAAAATTGTGTAAAGAAAAAAGAGGTGAGATATAGTTAGGAAGTAAGAAAATAAGTTTTACAGAAGAGTAAAAGGTAAATTTAATTGTAGTTCAACCAATATTGAGTTAAAATTCTTTCTTTAGAGCTTGTTTTGATCAGACAAATATGTACTAAAACTTTAATTAAGGGTGAGAGACAAGTTATTGTAGTAGAAACTATGAGGAAGTTAGTTTTTTAAAACTGGAGACCAAAGGCTATCAATACAGTTTTCTCTGTAAGTTTAAAAGATAAATCTATAATATTTTCAGAGTATATATAAATCATTGAGTTGATCAAGTTTACTTAATCACCAGGACAGGTTTTCTTAGTAAAATAAAAAGTTATAAATGTTTTTAGACAGATAGTTTTTTAGTTAATTTTTGTGTAATGGATTTGCAGAAAGAGTTCCTTTAATGAAACAATTAATTTTCACCTTTGTAAATTTAAGAATATATATATCCTATTTAACTCTTACTTCATACAAAAATAAATAAATAAAAGAAGCATATATATAAAGTTAAGAACATTTATTTATCTTACATACTTATTTAATTTAAACAGGTACTCACATGATATGAACAAAAAATTATAAATATAATCTGAGTACAATAAAAAAATTATGGAAGGCTTATACAAATTGATCTATGCACACATGTACATAGAATAACATAAAGTAAAATTTTTCAACAAAAATCTTTTCTGTTTTAGTCAAAAAGGAAATGTGACAGACCAATAAATAAAATATCTTCCAGTTGATTATAACCAATAGCAGGTTTTTATAAAAAAGATCTACAATATTTCAACAAAAAAAAATTAAAATAGGTTAAATAAATTTAAAAGATGATATTATGTTTATGATATAAACTCTCTCAAAATATATTAAGCATCTTGTTATTTTAATAAAACTTTCTTGCATCATAATTAATAAAGAAACCATTGAACGATTTTTTAAGTAATCATTGATAATACAATAATTTGTTATGAAATTATTAGTTGCTTTTAATCCAATTTTACTTTCTATTTAAAATCTCACCTACGAACTCTATCAAGAAAATTCCTCTCATAATTTTGACATATAATTCTAAATTCTTTTTTAATCCGATCTAACCCTAATTTAATATTAACTTTAAAATTAGCTTAATACAATAAATCCAGATGATCAACAAAGTCTTGCGATTTGTCACATATTCATACCAAATAAAAAGGAAACCTAATCCTTTACAAGTAAACTCTTTTTTGATGTTTACAGTTAGGGTGAGTGCGAGCACTATTCTTTTTTCGTGTGCAGTTATAGAAAATTAGTTTTGTTTCGAAATAATTTTTTCTTTTAAAAACCATACATACTATTATGACTTCCACATGACTGTCCTAATTTGCGTTTTCTTACAGTACCAATTACTATACACCCATAATAATCATCTGTCATTTTATCATATTTAAGATACTAAACTAACTAAGCTTGGATAAAAATATAAAGATATAATACGAAAAAGATGATAATAAAATATAAAGGAATAGAATAATTATAATCCATCACATGCATGTCTACCAAGTTAGGCAAGATCAATTTAATTTATTGGTTTACGTTCTTTCCTAAAAGAGAGGAAATGATTGCTTATATGAGAAATTTTATCAAAATTTTTTTCAACCAAAAAAGGTCCTAACTTTGCTCATCTTCCATGTTTATTCGATTTTTTTTAGAATTTTTCAGAAAGTCATATATATTCTAAATTTTTTGTTTACTAGAAGAAACGGCAAAACAGAGTCATTTAAATCACTAAATCAAATTGATTTGACCTTACCTAATAATATTGAAATTTTAAATTAACCAAATCGGTTTCTTTATTTGACAAATATTAATAAATAAACTGTGTGAATAACCTGATGCATGACGTAAGTCATGCTAAGGTTATTATTGCGAGGATCTTCACATTGAAACCAAGAAAGCCTTATTACTATTTAAGGATAGATGGGAAAATTTAGGATATTGATGCGTTGTATATATATAAGTTAAGGGGTCAGAGATGGGAATAATAGTGCTTTTTCTTTCACTGCCTGACTTTGGTCTGGCTCTTTCGTAGTGCCCCATCTGCAGAATAACAAACTGTAATGAAATTGTAATGAAATAAACCTAACATATGCATATATACAAACTTAAAAAAAAAAAAAGAAAAAGAAGAAAGTAACAAGGCACTGGTATGATGTCAAAATCAAACTTATCGAAGAATGATTTGGAGGAGATTTGTCGAAGCTTGGGGTTGTCCACAGAGGGAGTTAAGGCGGATTTGATACAAAGGTTAAGGTTTTACTCAAGTATGATAACATCAGACTCAGAAAATTCGAATACGTCAACCATTAGGGGAAATGATAATTGTGCAGAAGACATGAATGTGAATATAAGCCAACAATTGGCTGAATTAGGAGCAATAGGTGAAAACATCGAAATTAATACATTGAGGGAACGTGTGCAGCAAACTAGAAGAAACAGTCTAGTTGAACTAGTGTTAAATACCCACCAGGATCCAACGAACTCATCACCAGCACAAGGAGCAAGTGAACAGTCAGGTAAAAATACCATAAGACCAAATAAGAGACGGCTACAGGAAGATATTAGCGACAGCCAGGAGGATTCTCTTGAGAAGTTAGTCATATCAGAGTTTAAAAATCTAAGAAACATGGTAGCGGATTTTGACTATAAATTGAATTCAGTAGCAGCACAGGTAAATAAGGTGGAAATAAATGAATCCTGGCCAAGTCATAGGTTTGACAAATTACATGATCAACATGAATATGATGCTTTATGCACGATTGGGAAGGAGTTGGATTTAGCGTTAGACTCACAAAGTGCAGCGGATGCTATGAATCATGTAACCAGTGCACGAGAATCAGTGGCAGATAGGTTAGTTACATTGTGGGTAGCAGAAGGTTTCGGTTGGGATGTAGCGGCTGCTTTACCAAATACGCAGAATAAATTGTTAAAAGGGAAAGAATCGTTAATTGAGAAAGCCAAAGCATTGGTGGAAGCACGTAAAAGCAAAAAAAGGAAAACTTATAGTTCAAAGGAAGAAGGTATCCAGCCTTATGGGGGAAGTGGTTATCTAAATCCAAATCCTAATAATCTATTGGCAAAATACCAACCAAATTCTGGGCAGTTTTTTCGATCAGGGTTTCAAGCTCGTAATTGGGGGTCAAATGCGAGAAATAAATGCTACACCAGTGGTGGCGCAGGGCACTATGCAAATATGTGCCCGTCAGACCCCTACCAGAACCCAGGACAAGAAAGAGGATTGGGATTTAAGTCAAGAGGGTATACAACCTATAGGAACAGATATTTGGGACCAAGCGAGGAAAATAAACGCGATTGACTACACTCGGACCCAGCAATCGATACCAGTGGTAGGGTGAATACATTGGAAGGAACATATAAACTATTGGGAACAGAAAATACAGGCTCCAAAGTTAGTATTAAGTTGGCTAAAAAACTGCATACCGTTGTACCCGAAAGGGTTATTGAATCTGATGGAACAACCAGATCCACCTCAGTATGTGTTAACACAGGATCAAGCGTTATGGTTAGAAGTGGAAATACAAAGACTGTTAGGGACAAAGGCAATAGCATTGGTAGCAAACTCGAAAAATCGACCACCACAATTACTCGAAGTGAGTCCAATATTTTTGATACCGAAAACCGGACCAAAAAAGTGGCAACTGATTATAGACTTAAGAAGACTGAACAAAACGCTACCAGAAAAATCGTTCAGATTCGAAGGATTCAAAGCGTTTTTAAGAATGACGGGAAAAAATTGGTGGGTAATAGTGTTGGATTTAAAGGAAGGATATCATCATGTGTTAATGGATCAGAAAGCGCAGAGGTTACTAGGATTCAGGATAGGGACAAAATGGTATTATTACCAGTTTTACCGTTTGGCTTAAGCCTAGCGGTATGGACTTTCGCGTAAATAATGAGACCATTAATAAGTCATTGGAGATCGTTGGGGATTTTCTGCGGCAACCATCTCGACGACATTTGGATAGCATATTCGTGCAAGGGAACTCTAGTTCAAATAAGAGATTCAGTGATTTTTCAGGATTTGAAAAATTGCAGCTTTGTTCTAGCCGAAAAAGGGTGCTTGGAACCTACGCAGGAACCAAAGTATTATGGGCTAATACTAAACACAAAAACTGGTCATGTGATTGCACCAGATTCAAAGATAAAGGCCACGTTAGAAAGTCTTCAAGACCTCCTCTCAACAAATCCTCTGACAGCTCGACGTCTGTCGGCAGTTGCTGGACAGGTAATGATTCTGAGCCAAGCTTTTGCATATGCGAAAACACGCTGTCTAGAATTCTATTCGATAATAAATGCAGAAAATCGGAAAAAGTGGGAATAGAACAATCCGGTAAAATTGACAAAACAAGCCACGGCGGATATAAAATGGTTACAAGAAAATTTGAGGAAGAAAAATGGTCGTCGGGCCTGGAAACCCTTCCAGATAATTACAATATACGTCGATGCTTCGACTACAGGGTGGTCAGCAACCTTGGAGAAGAGAAAGGCCTTCAGAAATTGGGAATACCACCGCAAGCATGTAAACATTGCTCTTCTCGAAGCAACAGCGGCCTTATTAGGTCTCGAAGCATTTGTGCATATAATTGCACATCATTGGGTTACTGTATATATAGACAATCAAGTTGCGCGAAAGATGATAGAATCAGGAGGGAAAAGACCATGGCAGAAAAATATAATGCGCCAGGTATGAAATTTTTGCGACGAACACAATGTGCAGATTCACGAGTTTTGTTAGGTGCCTTCGCGATTAAATCCGGCAGACGAATTAACTCGCTTCTTCGACGAGTCCGACTGGGAATTGGCTCAGAATATATATACCGAGATAAACAAAAAATGGGGTTCCTTTACAATAGATCGAATGGCGAGTTATCGAACAAGGAAGGTAGTACAGTTCAACAGTCGGTATTATTGTCTGGAAGCAGAAGCGGTAGATTGTTTTACAGAGGATTGGGGACAGGAAAACAATTACATCTGCCCCCCGTTGAGCCTAATTCAAAGAATATTCGAGCATGGAGTTCAAGGCCGAACACAAGTGGTGTTAATTATACCGATATGGGTTTCTGCCACATGGTGGCCAGTTCTTATACAGAAGCGAGTCGAAGCAATAGATCTCCCACTAGCAAGAAGCTGTTTTTTACCAAACCCAGGGAGCAACCTAATACCAGAGCCTTGGAAAAACCAGCAATAGAGATTTCAAGCAATAAAAATTTGTTTTTAAGGACGTTACTGGAAAAAGCATACGAGACTATAGAACCCAAATCAGTATATGGGAAACGCCTTATAGCGTTATGGAATGAATTCGTGATGTTTTGTAAGAGTCACAAGTTAAACGCATGCCCGTGCCATCCAGAGACGGTTATGATGTTCCTTACTTGGTCAGACCTGTCATCAAAAACACAAAAATTACGTTGGTATATAATGGCAATAGGTTATCACCATCGTAGATTAGAGATTTCAGACCTAACACGAAACTTCAACATGCAATGTCTTGTCAGAAATTTACTGAAACGTGCAGCTGAAGATAAGAAAGCGGTATGGCCACGAGACCCTTTCCCTGTTGAAGCTCTGCGAAAGTATATTGATGACCCACCTTTGGGAACTAGGGAACAAATTTGGGTAAGAGACTGTACATTGGTTGCACTTGAACTCCGTACAATGAGAAGGCCAGCAGAACTTTGTAACCTTCGGGTGGTGGATATTAAGATGGAAGGTGGTTTTTTATGGATTAGAATAAATAAATCGAAAACTGATCAATTCGCAAAAGGGAAGTTCATACCGGTAGATCCTACAAATTCACCATATTGCTCCGTAAGGTTGATCTATCAGTATTTGGAAGCAAGAGGGAAAATAAAAAGTCAGGATTTATTATTTGTAAACATATCAGGGAAACGCTTGTCGTCAGGAGCGATAAACGCAGTGGTAAAAAGGATTACACGTCACGCTGGGTTAAATGGAAAATATTCGGGTCATAGTTTACGTATCGGTGGTGCAACTGAAGCAATGAAAGCTGGGCTGACGCTACCACAAATTATGAGTATAGGTGGTTGGTTGTCAAACTCAGTAGAGCTTTATCTTCGTTCTTTCTCTACAGCATTGCAAAATACATCAGGAAAAATGGGATTTTAAAAAAAAAAAAAAAAAAGAGAGAAAAAAAAAAAAAAAAAAAGAGTGGAAAAAGAGTGAAAAGAGTATTAATAACAAGGGTTAACACAAAGGTTATATAATATATCAAGGTATCCTATATGATCTATATTATCTCTTTAACGATTCTCTTCTTTCTCCCATAGTGTATTTTCATTAGCTCAATAAACTGATCCGAGCGAGAATAATAACCTGATGCATGACGTAAGTCATGCTAAGGTTATTATTGCGAGGATCTTCACATGGAAACCAAGAAAGCCTTATTACTGTTTAAGGATAGATGGGAAAATTTAGGATATTGATGCGTTGTATATATATAAGTTAAGGGGGCAGAGATGGGAATAATAGTGCTTTTTCTTTCGCTGCCTGACTTTGGTCTGGCTCTTTCGTAAAGGTCCCTCCCAGCCCGCCCAAAAAAAAAAAAAAAAAAAAAAGAGAAGAAAAGAAAAGGAGAGGAGCTTGGGGACGAGCTCACTGACACAAAGGAGTTGCTCGGTGACTGGCTCCCTGACACGCAAAAAAAAAAAAAAAAAAAAAAGGGAAAGAAAAAAGTGTAATTGTAGTATGTTGCGCATTACGCGATTCTCTTCTCTTTCGCCACATGATCTGTCACGTGGGTTGTCAAACAAAGTACAGTATACATATATATATGAATAGTTAGACTATGTAAATGTAAATGATGGGGCATATAGAGCCGCAGCGCGGCACTACTCCCATAGTGTATTTTCATTAGCTCAATAAACTGATCCGAGCGAGAATAATTACAATATAACCTTCCGTTCCTGGTTTTGCGTGACAGCGTCGTACAACTACCTTATTTGATTATCATTTTATCAGCCTGATAAAATTCGATGAAAAAAAATGCAAATTACCAAATATTTAGCATTGAAGCCTTTAAATTTATATCGGGTCGCTAATTTTTGCGCATAAAAAAAATTTATTTTTACTATCGTTGGTTATTGCATCTAGATGTATGCGCTCATTTATAAGTTTTTTTTTATAAAGTAAATTTAGATAATAAACATGAGAGTTTGGTACCTCATGCTGATATATGAAAAATAAATATTGAATGATGAATAAGCACGCACACCAATCAATTCTAAGATTTTGCGTACAGAGGCATTCGTCTTGGTACCTACCTTTTAAGAGTATTATTCGGGGTGCTACACAAAGTCACAATGACAGATCACCCAATCATATGCTGAGAATCGCACACGCCATTTCACTCGCAAGTAAGCCATAGCCTACGTACTTCGTACACCGTTCCTGGTACTGCTACTGAAATAAATAAGCAATGTTGTTGGAACCTTAGTTGCATTCTTACCGTTTATTTTGCTTTTTTTTGTAAATCAAAATGACAAATGAAAATTTTAATCAACTGAATTTCAATGAATGTCAAAAATTAGTAGATACGAACGATCCAAACGGAATTTATTTGCTTGGTTATTGTTACGAACATGGAATTGGAGTTGAAAAGAATGAAAACGAAGCATTTGTTAATTATCAAAAATCTGCCGACCTTAATAATCCAGATGGAATGTATCAAGTTGGTTATTGCTATAATTTAGGAATTGGGGTTAAAATTGATAAACAAAAAGCATTCAAGTATTATTTGATGTCAGCGGAGGCAGGTAATTCGATGGGAATCCGGAAAACTGCTATTTGTTACTTTTACGGAATTAGCGTGAAAAAAAATAGTGATAAATATTCGGAATGGTTTTATAAGTAAGCTAATTTTTTAATTTTAATATTTTAAGTATTGAAAATATTTCATACAATTTTAATAATTCAATTTTATTTATTAGAGAGTAAGTATAAAAAATCTGTTAATTACAATTAAGTTCATAAATATTGTTAATTGTTTGTGTTAATTTTAGCCCGTAAGTGTAAGAGACATGTTTGTTAAGCATTGAAGTTCAACATAAATACTTATTTACTGTTATGTAAAATCATTTCATCGCATTAATCATTCATTCAGAGAGTGAGTATAAAGAACATTTATTAATCATTGGATTAGTGTTCCAAGTTGGTAAAAAATTTTCCAATCGATTAGTTACCAACTATAGTTGTAATTAATCGACGGAATTTGTTGATTGGCTAATCAAACTGAAGAAATCAATACAAACCAGTCGAATAGATAGAATATCTCAGAATTTAACTAATTGATGATTTCGATTAGTTGTTTCGAAATTTTCCAAATCGATTGGTTGGAAAGTTGTCAACTAGTTGGTTTTTCAACTACCGATTTGGATCACTAATTAGAATTAAGAACAAGTTCACAAATCAAGAGCATATATACTTATTTACCATTACCTAATACCCTTCAACCCATTTTATTCACATTAATCATTCATTCAGTCGGTGAGTATAAAGAACATTAATTAATCATTGGATTAAAACAAGTTTACAAATCAAGAACATAAATACTTATTTACCATTACCCAATACCCTTCAAATCATTTCATCCGCATTAATTATTCATTTAGTGAGTGAGTATAAAGAACGTTTATTAATCATTGGAATTAAAAACCAGTTCACAAATCAAGAACATAAATACTTATTTACCATTACCCAATACCCTTCAAATCATCTCATCCAAATTAATCATTCATTCAGTCTGTGAGTATAAAGAACATTTATTAATAACTGGAATTAAAAACAAGTTCACAAATCAAGAACAAAAATACTTATTTACCATTATGTAAAATCATTTTATTCGTATTAATCGTTCATTCAGTAAGTGAGCATAAAGAATATTTATTAATCATTTGAATTAAAACAAGTTCGCAAATCAAGAACATAAATACTTATTTACCATTACCGAATACACTTCAAATAATTTCATTCGCGTTAATAATTCATTAAGTGGGTGAGTATAAAGAACATTTATTAATCATTGGAATTAAAAACAAGTTCACAAATAAGAACATCGATACTTATTTACCATTACATGATACTCTTTAAATCATTTCATTCGCATTAATTTAGTTAGTAAGTATAAAGAACATTTCTTAATTATTGTAATTAAAAACAAGCTCACAAATAAAGAACATAAATACTTATATGGCGTTATCTAATACCCTTAAATCATTTCATTCGCACTAATCATTCATTTAGCCGGTGAGTATAAAGAACATTTATTAATCATTTGAATTAAAAACAAGTTCACAAATAAAGAACATAAATACTTATTTACTATTACCTCATACCATTCAAATCATTTTATTCGCACTAATCATTAATTCAGTGAGTGAGTATAAAGAACATCTATTAATCATTGAAATTAAAAACAAGTTCACAAGTAAAGAATATAAGTACTTATTTACCCAATACCCTTAAAATCATCCCATTTGCATTAATTTAGCCGGTGAGTATATTAATCATTGAAATTAAAACAAGTTCACAAATAAAGACCATAAATACACATTTACGATTACTTAATACACTCCAAATCATCTCATTCGCATTAATCATTATTCAGTATGTGAGTGTAAAGAACATTTATTAAACATCAGAATTAAAATCAAGAACATAAATGCTTATTTACCATTACCTACTATCCTTCAAATCATTTCATTCGCATTAATTTAGTTAGTGAGTATAAGAACATTTATTAATCATTGGAATTAAAAAAAAGTTCGCAAATCAAGAACATAAATAACGTACTTATTTACCATCACCTAATACCTTTCATTCACATTAATCATCCATTCAGTAAGTGAGTACAAAGAACATTTATTACTCATTGGAATTAAAATCAAGTTCACAATCAAGAACATAAATACTTATTTACCATTACCTCATATCCTTCAAATCATTTCATTCACATTAATTTAGTTAGTAAGTATAACGAACATTTATTAATTAAAAACAAGTTCACAAATCAAAAACATAAATACTTATTTACCATTACCTAATATCCTTTAAATCATTTCATCCGTATTAATTATTCATTCAGTGAGTGAGTATAAAAACATTTATTAATCATCGAAATTAAAAACAAGTTCACAAATCATGAACATAAATATTTATTTACCATTACCTAATATCCTTCAACCCATTTTATTCGCATTAATCATTCAGTCAGTGAGTATAAAGAACATTAATTAATCATTGGAGTTAAAACAAGTTCACAAATCAAAAACAAAAATACTTA